ACATATTATTTCTCATCAATCTACAATTTATTTATTTGTGATGCAAAGAGTGACCTCCATTGACTTTTGTAAATGGCAACTACAATTAAATGAAAACACGACAATGGACTGGAACAATTATCTCCAAGAGGTTTGCTGCAATTCTTCAATGTGTCATCATAAAACTAAGATCAGTGGTACCAACAAAATCATTGAAATTTTTTTCACAAAAAGGAAACACAATGTAAGTTGCATATATCTGCACAGTGGGTTTTCAGAGGCTTCTGGCAAAAAATAATAATGATTAGCTGCAAGATATGATCACTTCACGGTGAATCATTTAATTTTATTGGCCCTGTCACGGGGTATCATACTCATTCTAACAAACGTTTTGGGGGCAGTAATAAATGGAAAAACCAATACCGAACAGACACTGTCAAATCAACACTTTAATTTTCTCTTAAAACAATTCATGTGGCATTGCCTACATCCAAAAACTGAAATGTTGTCTACCATATTGGAAGATATTCGTGATATTCGTACATTCACGTCTCTTATGTTACGTTTAGTATTATTTATTGCAGCTTTTTTTTTTTTTTTTTAGTAATTAAGAATGAAAAAATTCTTTGTATTAATAAGTTGCTATCTATGAACTACTTTTAAACTAAAAATTGTTTACGATTAAAAAGTCTGCCAAAATGTGTGGTATGTGCATAATGGAAAAGTACCAATTTTTAAATATATTCTGTAGAAAGAATTATATATTTATGTATTTTTTACCAATTTTTACTGATACATACATGACACTTGTAAATATAAACAGCTAAAATTAAAATTTTCAGTTAACTCTTTGAAATCGAGACCCTTCGCTAACCTGTATCCTCAAAATACCGAACCGCCCGAAATACTTTTCCAGTTTCCAGCAATTTTCTCCCCTCCCCGTCCATTAACGCAGAAAATAGGTGTGAAGATTTCGAATGACATTCTTTGTACTTTCTGACAAAGATTCCATTAACCTTTGACCCCGTTCTTTATAACCTATTTTGAAGGTCAGACAAACAAGCCTTTCTGGCTTTGTTATGATCATGACTGAGATTTTGTTTACTTCCTTAATTTTTAGGAAGGATTAAATTGATTAAAAATAAATCTAATCCTTAAATCTTTTAAACTTCACTTTTATTGCAGTTTAAAATTTATGAAAAAAATAGCTCTGGTTTAAAAAGAGTAGATATTTTGTCATAATTCTGTTAAGTACTGAAATATTCCTGGGTTTTTATAGAGGATATAAAATGGATCCCGCTAAGCAAAATACGTATATTTATTACTATCACGTGCAACGTAAATATGAGCCAATTTTCATTGGGAAAATCACTCCCATTGCCTTCGCCAATCCTCTTGTACTTATATACAATAGGCTACTTTAACACCCCGTAATGAATATAATATAAATAAATAATTTTCTTTTTTAAAATTTCATTTTTACAGGAATTTCTTGTTTTTTTCTTTTATTGAACAGAGGATTAAGATTTCACTTCATGTACTTTCTTTCTCTTCATGTTAAGTTGCTATTTTTTAGTTAATGTTGTGTGTTATTTTTCATTTTAGTTTATTTAACTTTGTTTTTCCTTCCAAAAATAATGAGATCTTGTCATTTGTTGATCATTGTTTGATTCCATCTTTGTGAGGAATAAACCTAGTTTATAGAATTTTTATGATTTTTACTTATTGTACAAGTTTTAAAGCGCTTATAAGTCATTGTTTTTCCATTTTCATTACGGTTTATATATTATATTATTATTTCTTTATATAGGTAAATATGCATATGTATTTTATCACTCATATAAATTTGTAGCTAGATATATGCATACATAAATGTGCCCCTTGCATTAAACGTGTCTATGTTTATATATATATTGCTGTTCATTCCACATTTATACACGTTTTTCTGATGGTGCAATAACGTTTTCACTTTTTTGAAATTGGATACTGTTCTGTAATCGTAACCGAATCAGAAATATATGAGTGTATGCACATGTGTATGTATATGCATATATGTGTCTATGTATATACACACATATTCCTACTTACAGTATATACATGCATACATGAAAACACACATCCATCCATCCATACATACATACATACATACATAAATACATTTCTGAATCCGGTCTTAATAAGATAACTGTACCTGAAATTGCATGGCCTTTTGTGGTCCTGAAAAGAGACTTTTTTTTATATTTTAGCAACTGAAATTCAAAGGCTAAACGAATGTTTTGCACAAGCACATTCTGCATATAACACACTCCCAAGAACTTTCAATATACCTCTCCCAGTTTGTCTTTTTTTCCTAATTATTTACATCGAACACAAGTGCAGTTATGACCATTAATTTTTCGACGTTTGTGATCATGAAATTCACTAGGCGAAAATATGCCTGAGGTTCGTTTTCAAAACAAATTTTGCGATGTGGATTCTTCAATCAGTTCTAATTTGAAGTCATATAGTTGCTTTGGTTGCTTTAGGATTGGATAGTTAGTGACTCTATGAACTATAAAAGTGTTATTCACTGCTGTGTCTAAAAGAAACCAAAATACATACATCCACCATTTTGAGGATTTTCTAGAAGCTGAGTAATATTTTCGATGCTGATCTGCTAGATCTACACCTTCCATATTCTTATTGTACTTGACAAATGCGGGTGGACATGGTACTATATTTTTTCAGAGCCTTTTCTCCTTGTAGTAAAAAAGGTTCATTTTTACAGTTTGTGGAAATTATATGTATCAATTTTTTATTAAGTCAGGATGAATAAAGTAAATTTGGCAGGCTTTTGCATTGCATAACTATGCTGTCATATTGATTTCGCAGCTTCATTTGCCTGATGTTCTCGGGCATGTTTTTCCGATTTGTTATCACAGTTCCAAATGATAATTGTCCAGATTTATATAACTCAAACATCAAGTCTATGCTGGTGAAAAATCTGTCAAAATATATTTCATGACCTTTGTTTTTAAGTGCTTTTACTAAGTGCATAACTACGTCATATCCTAAACCCTTTCCTGAACTTGGTATCTGATCTTTTTTACCACAATAAAGTTCAAAGTTGTAAGTAAATCCTAAGCGAGATGTGCAGAGCATCCATATCTTTAATCCATGCTTAGCTGGTTTCATAGGCATATATTGCATGATCCCTAATCTACCTTTAACCGTTTGACTGCTACACGGCGAAAAAGCGCTGCGTTCATTTGTCTAAAAAACTGCGACGCAGTTAGTTATTTCAGAACGCACTTCTGTTACAAAGTATGCTACAAAAACTAAACTTCCTAACAGATTTCTAAAGGGTAATGTATGCGTTTCCGCAATTTCTGCACTTGTAGATGGACAATCTAATTTTGTAAGAATATGCCCTTAGCTATGGGAAGTGAAGTTATTGGTATCTGGAAATGTTTTAAATTTTTAAAAAAAATTTCTTCGATATATTTCTGCTGATGTATAAAACCCCATTCTCATTCTCTAGAATCAATTCAAGTAACGTTTTAGTTTTGCCTAATACTTTAAGATAAAAAGAAAACTTACTCAGCTGTGAAATTACTTTATCTATATTATATTGATCTTCACTAAAAATCACAATATCATCTACATATAACAATTAATATATAACAAGAAAATTACATTTGAACTCTTATAAACGCAATTACACCATTGTATTTTCTTAAAATGTAGATTTTCTAAAACTACTTTCAAATTTCACAAAATCATCACGGGCCGATTTGATGTAGACCGTAAATGGCCTGTGTAATAAACACTTATTTTTGATAAGGAAAAACTAAAGCCAACAAACGGGCCCTTTTCCTCATGCAAAGACAAAAACAAAACTTACACCAGAATTACAGTAGTTCAATTCTATTATATAAAAAACACTTATTGAGCTTTAAACTGGAACATCTAAAAAAATTCCTTAAATTAACAGCAGTCGCCGTTTTTGTAAATAAGTCCGCAGTATTTAATTTACTGGTGATAAATTTAAGGTCAAACACTCCATCATTTACTAGTTTTCTAATAAAGTAATAATTTATGTCTATGTGCTTAGTTCAGTGATTTTCTATTGGCGATCTTGAAAAATCAATGGCAGACTTGATATCACAAATTAGTTTACATTCTCTTAAATTAAACTTTAAAATTTCATCTTGTAAGACATTTTTCATCCACATTAAGTCCTTCGCTGACCCTGATAAAGTGATATACTTCGCTTCCATGGTTGATAAACTTACACATTTGAAGAAACAACTTTACATATTGTAAAGGTGACGCACCAACATGTAAATTATGAATTGGTTCTGAAAAGCTGTTAAATGGGGACAAAATTATGGCATCATTATTAACATTAGCAGATCAGGTTTTTACTGGATTTTCGTTACACTTTTCTGAAACCTCTGCTTCCAGATTTGATTTGTGCTCATCTCCATCTACTGCTATAAATAATTCTTCTTCACTATCATTTATTTCATTTTCTATTTCTTTCCTGTCGCCGTCTTTTGATTCCAAATCTGACTCATCTGTATCATTAAAAAGAATAGCCTCAATTTCTTGTTAAGTTAAAACTTTGCGATATTTGCACATTTTGATTAAAGCTTAAAAGCACACTCTACGAAAAAAAGTGTCAACAACAAGCTATCAAAAGATAACAAACCTCTTAAGACAAGCTGTCTGCAGTAAGCTGATACAAAACATTGGGGAAATTGCACCTGCTACTGCATACCTTAGGGTGAGGGAAGAAAACAAGATTGCAATCTCGGCCGTTTTCGGGCGGATTGGTTGTGAAAGAATAAAACTATTACCAAATGTTTAAATCTTTTAAACTCATTTTCAAAGCTTTCTTTTTTATTTTTATGCAATTTTCATGTCTTTATTTTTTAAAATATATACATTAAAAGCAATTAACAGAAATGATTGTAAATTTTATCAATGATCAAAAATGGTTTCTTTATAAGTTATAAAAGTAATTCCAACTCACTAACCTGCTTATATCTTGATCTTCCATAGAAACTTGTCCCCCCAGAACCTTTTCCTGTTCTTTTAGAGACAGGGCAATAGCTTTTTTCAAGTCATCTTCTTTATCCGCACCATCATTTGTTAAGTCTATAACCCCAGCATTTGGAGATTGTGCAGCATCTTTTTCAGCATTCAGAATTGGCGGCTGTTGCTGCTGTTTCTGCTTTTGACACAAAAAGTAATTTTTTAGATATAAATCTTAATCATATATTCTATTAATGAGAACAGAAATTTAAAAAAAAAAAAAAAAAAAGATATGGTACTTTTCCGTTTTGCTGGCGCAAATCTCGCCAAGCAGACTTTATTGGCAACAACATACAGTAAACGCATAAAAAAAGCTAACAAATGATAGTTCTAAGAATTTTGTATTTTAAAGGCATAAACATTTTAATATCATTTAAAATTTTGTAAAAAGCCAATAAGTAAAGATAATAAATTCCAAGTGATCTCATCTCATGTAAACTATGCTACAAAAATCTAATTTTCTCAGCAATTATCTAAATTAATTTCAAGTTAAATCTTAATTTGGAATACAAATTTAAATGCAAGAATTATTTTAATTTGTACAAATACCTCACTCAGAAATTATGTAGAACCGCAGCGCTTTACTTCACTAGTGCATTCTCGTTAGAACTGATGACCCTTGACTTTGCCTTTTCTATATTTTTGCCTTCAGGTGAGTGCTGTGATTGCATTTTAATTGATTTAACCCTTTCAGGATGGGTGTTCCATATACGCATTCTCTAAGAACGTCTCTTACAGCCGGGCATCCCATCCAGGCATCACTAGAGGTTATACTCAGAGGACGGGTGAATATCTTATTATACGCATTTTAAGCTGGAACGTTTTTTTTTTTTTTTTTTTTTTTTTTTTTTTTTTTTTTTTTTTGAAGGCCACTAGATGACATCCTATGTCCATTACTTTTCAAATGAACACAGTTTTGTGTTCTTGACCTTGATACAGTCTGCCTGATTTTGATATTTTACTCATCAATTGTTGCAAGGGTGAGAGGGAGGGAAAGCGTAAACAGAGGTGGGCTCTTTAAATTGCCGCGTGCTAATATAACATTCGCGTGTCGGATTTATATCCAATTCCTTTTTTTTTATTCTATTACCCCTCCCTACAATGTATGGTCTTTTAGGGCTACTTATGTGGAGTTCTGTTATGTTTTGCATAGCATTCAGATATATTTCCATTTCTTTTCTCTTTTTTTCAGAAAGTCTCATCTCCAGTCTATTTTAGCCGGAAGGCGCTATTTATCAGAGTAAGAATACCCTCGTATGGTTAATTAACCATTTACTAATGCAGATGAGAGTGATTATTCATTTTCTAAGAATTTTGTATTTTAAAGGCATAAAGTGATACTTTTTCTAAGAGTTGGAAAGTGATACTTCTCCGTGCTTCGAGATTTACCACACTCAGTCTTCATTTTAAATTTTGTTACTTACTGTAAATAATCTTTATTGTGTTGTTTTATTAATTTTAAACTTTATTGATGGATTTTATCAAGTAAAAACTTTGGAATAATTTGAATTCCGCTTCCGAAAATTATTTTATAAGATAAGCAATTTTTTAAGTACATTTTCATCTAAAATGAAGAAAAAAAAACATTATTAAGTACTAATTTTAACATATATAAGAGCTCAAGTAATAATCTAAAATGATACCAAAAATTACAATGCTAGAAGTGAAACTTTTTTCCCCCGATTTTTTTTAATAAAATTAGCTTTGCGATGCAAAACCTCCGTCCTGTACGGTGACTGCCTTTGATTCCCTTACGTCCCGCACGGTCATCTTAAACAAAGGTGCCAGTGCGAAAGGGTTAATTCTTGTGAATGGCCTTAGGGCACAAAATAGAACTATCTGGTAAAAATTCTATGTAATTGTATGCCAGTATTGAAAGAAACAATCAATCTGATTAGAAATGGCTGCGACTTGTTTTGAAAATGAGACGTAAAAGGTTACCAGCGAGGATATTTCGTTTGGCATCAGTCGTACCATTATTAGCGACTTTATCGCCTGCGCCGGCAAAATGGAAAAGTACCAAAGATAAATTAAATGTCATTTCACAATAATTCAAAATAGCTTTACAGAGAATGGCATACTTATGAGTCTGGGTCACATATTATTGGCAGTAAGCTTTTGAGACAAAATAGTAAAGAATCAAAACATAAAAAGTTAGTACCAAAAATTAAAATAAACAACAATTAAAAAAAAAGTTGAATTCACTTCAGATGGACTGCATGCAACGCAAAATGGGAAATATGGGGTAGGCATGGAGGAAATGCTCATAAAAACAAATTTTTGCTTTCATATATAGTACAAATGGAATGGATCATGCAAAAAGTTAATTACCTGAATAATGGCTTATCGACAGCATTTGTCATGAAACAAGTGAGTGGTTTTTGTTGTTTTTTTTTTAATTTTTTTAAAACAGATAGCAAAAACTTTAATAGAGGTAATTACAAATGTGATCAAGAACTTATTACAGATTTTTTGAAAGAATACTCAGTGCAGCAGCGTGGTTACTAAAATGTAACTGCAAATATTTTGCCGTCAAAAAATTATCACCAAGAATATGTGATCCAGTATAATCATTAACTATCCAGATTACATATATTCCGACAGGTGAATATCTTATTATGGAATAGAGAATGCATAGTAATACGATTACAAGGAAATACAACCAATAATACAAAACATGCATTCATAAAATCACTTATTCAAAAAAATATATTTTCATACACACAAGCAATCAATATATCGTCATATAATTTTACAAATACACACAAGCAATCAAATATATAGTCATATAATTTTACAAATATATAATTGCTGAATTTTATAAGCATTTAATTATAAATTATATGGTAACTATGTATGGAACTATTCCAACCACATCATGAACAGATGTATAATTTAAATATATATAATGTTTAATGTGCACAACATCTAAGCTGTGTACGATGGCAAGCTTAAGCGATTTTTTATAAACCATCTGAAGGTTATCGATATCTACTCACCTGCGTTGACAGATTTACTCATTTGCCAGAAGCTTTTTCCATTCAGGACTTTTCTGCCGACTCTGTGGCTCAATAATCCATCTCCGGTTGGATTGCACGATTTGGAGTACAATCAATTGTGACAATTGATTAAGGTCAACAATTCCAGTCACACCTTTTTGCTTCTCTAAACATCTATGCTTGGAATAAGCTGAATTCGCACTTCACCATATCATCCTCCCACCAACGGCTTAGTGGAACATTTCCACCGTGACCTAAAGGCAGCTTTCAAGTGCCATAATGACACCCAGTGGACTACATCACTCCCTCCTTTGCTTCTTGGGTTACGATCTTCCTTCAAGTAAGACCTTGCAGGTACATCTGCTGAACTTCATTAAATTTCAGAAATATACCTTGTAACAAAATGGAGATAATTTTTTTCACAGTCAGAACTAATTTTTCATACCTGTTGAGTCACGTAAATTATGTCAAACTTGTAGAGATTCATAGAGAAATATTAAAACTGAGTCTATATTATACAGTAAATCTCGCAAATATTTCGTTTTTTATTTCTAAAGAGATGTATGATATTCATTGTTATCGAATAATATTAGCATTTACTCCTAATACTCTTTTAATGGAATCTGTGATAACCCTTTACTAAAGTTTAAACAAATGAATGCAGTTTATACAAAATGAACTCTCAAACACTTCGGACAGTTAGCTCTTCAAATTTCATTAAACAGGGTTCGTACACATTTCCTTACATGAAAATTAAGGACTTTTAAGGACCATCAAAGAAAAAATTAAGGACCTATCAGCAAACAAAAAAACAAATAGAATAAAGCAATTATCCATACAACCGACTTCATGCTTGTAATTTCACTTTAAGAAACTAACAGAAGTGTGTAACTCCCTACAAGTTATGAAGTAGATAACATTAAATTAGGAACATAATTTCTTTAAAAACATGTATAAGTGTATTTTACACTAATAACAGTCACTATTTTAGAGATTTACATGATTATTATTAACTTATTTGATATTTATTTAAACACAGTCAACTACTATTATAATCACAATGTAAGAATATTTTGCAGATTAAAATAACTGATTTGTAAACATACAATTTATTTTCTTGGTTTTTTTGAAAGATACTAGAATAATAAACTGTACAATAAAAGATACAAAACATTTGTGCTTTTTTTAAATCTGAAATCTTTTCAGCTATTTTAACATCTAATTTATTTATGTCTATTTCCTTTTCTTTAACTATTCTTCTAAGTTCATTTGCTTTGATAAACAAATCAATGTTCATGCTGGTCTCAGCTTCATCTGCTAAAGCATCTACTTCTTCATTAATATCTTTAATGTCCCTTTGAAGAAATTTTTTCTTCTGCTTCATATAATCAATTTCTTCCTCAATGATATTTCTTTTCCTCTTTGAATTTTCAGATTTAGTTAAAGATTTTTGTTCTTCTAAATACTGCATATATTTAGACCTTGCAGAAGCTGCTGATGATCTCATTTCTTTATTAATTTCGATATTAAGAACAACTCCAGAAAATTTTATGTAATCAAATACTGTGCGTTGAAAAATGTATGATGAGTCACTTAAATTTTCGATTTCATTTGCTTTATTTACAGAGAAGCCTCTTTCCACAGAGGCCTGTCCATGTGACAAGATAAGAATCATTTTCACTATTTTCCATACTTTTGAATAGTGAAAATCATGAAAATAAGAAGTGAGAAATGTGTCAGAATTTCATCCCAATCATCTTGTAAAACATGTTTATTCTGCATTAATACCTTTAGAACTATTTTCATTTTGTTCTGGGCTTTTTCTGGACTTTTAACTATCAATCGCGGATCTATACAAGATGCATTCGATTGCGGCATTTATCATTCATTAACTGCTCAGCAATGAATCCCAAATAAACTTTACTTTTATCATTATAACAATTTGGATCATTAAAATTAAATTTATAAAGATTTTCTGCTTTAGCTATTTTTGAATATTCTAGTTTCAAAATTTTAAAGTGCTGAAGGCAATCATTTACAAGTTTTAAGATATCTTCAGCAAAAAAGGGAATAAGTGGTTTATCACTTTGATAATATTCAAGGAAAGGCAATAATATTTTCGACAGAGAGAGAAAATATT